TAAATTGGTGTCTGGTGAAAACTCGTTTAATTGGGATACACTGTGACTCAACACCCATTATCTGAAGTGACGTCGTAACAACCCTAATCCCTTTCTCTTTCCCTTTCCCTTTGGAACATGAGTTCTGCCTCCAGACGGAACGATTGTCCTTTCCTCTCCCTCTTTCGCGTTTCTGATTTCTCTATTGTAAAAAGAGAGAAAAACACGTTCTTGAATCCATTTTGCATTGTTTAAACAATTATTTGTTGTTTCTTTAAATGATAATTGAAAAGGTGTGGGAGTGGAAGGAAGAGCATGGTAACACGATTCTAACACAACTACGACGTCTCGGAGCTTTCTTCTTATTGGTCTCGTGAGGTACCTTTGTTGAAAATTTGACAAATATTGAATTTATATGTTAATGGACCTCTTATCATCCAAATGAATCAAAGTATAGTCCTTTGAAATTCAGAGGTACGATCATGATCCAACTAATTCTTTTTTTTTTGGTTAATAGGAAGGAAATTTCAGTGGAGCCAATCGAAATCTCACTGAAATCTCTATGTGTGCCTGTGCACACGAATCCAGGGATAGAGGTGATTAGATTTTTTTTTTTTTAACGTTTTTTATAATTGATTGCTTAAAAAGTCATTTTGATGAGATATGTTATTATCAAAGCAGACTTCTCATGTAGGTCTTGCGAAGGAAACATATTCTCCACGTTTTCAAGCCATCTTACGTGTCACATGTGAACGGAAGAAGAAGCCTCATGACATCAAGAGTTTCTCTCATGAACTCAACTCCAAAGGTGTTAGGCCTTTCCCCGTGTGGATATCTCGAGCCGTTGGTCTCATGGAGGTTTGTAATTCTCTCTTTTGCTTATGTTAATTTTTCACAACCTGTGATTGAAAAAGGATGCTCACCTGGAAAAACCATATACTCAAAGTTATCATGGATTTGTCTTTCTGGTTAATGGTTTGGGTTCTAATGAATATGTGGGGCACCTATTCATTAATATTTTAGTCTTGCCTTTATTCTTTAACCCTATAACATTAGTATAGATAGCCATATTAGCAACAATCTTTTATAAATATATTTTTTTATAAGTTCTAGAACTTCATGATGCGTTCATTGAAGCTATTAATCAGCTCGGCAGTAATATCTTTGTATAATTGTGTTTCTTTCTTTCACTAGATAACCTCAAAAGAAGATGATGACATCTATCGAAAGCATCAAATCTGACTACATAACAAACCTGAAATATTTTCTTCGTATTTGTTTAGAAATTTTATTATCAAGTCTTATATGTTAAAATTTTTCACTCTTCCTTTACCAGGAGCATTGAGATCACACAAGTTCAAGGCTACAAATGGAAGTTCACAAATTGAGCAGCTCGAGGTAATCGTATCACTGGTTACATCGACCAGCTGGATGTAAGTTTTCTCAATTTAAATGGTGTTCAGTTTGGTGAGATTAAGTGTTATGCATTGAGTCCTCTGTTTGTGTGTGTATCTTAGACTCTTACCATAGTTTCCTCAGTTCTTAACTTGAAACATGAATTAGGGAAGACGGTGTTGGAGCTGGTGTAGAATATTATAGATCCAGATTTCTCTATCTAATTGAATGGTCATGTTCTATTCTCCTCAAATAGCAATTCTGAGTTGAATGATCTTATTTCGAAAAAA